CAGACAAGCCATTGCTGGGATAAATTTTGGCCACGCAGAATGGCCGATTTATTGATTAAAACTAATATGATATACAATATTAACGAATTATTATTTGTTAAGCTCTTGCAAAGGTGAGGGCCCGAGATCATCAACTCATAACAAAACCAACTATAGAAACCGCATCGTGTACCATAGGCAAAGCCAAAGACATTATGCTTATGCTTAACGTTCGTTGCAGTTGTATAATACATTTTTATATTGTAGCCGTGAATTAGACTAGAGCTATATGTACCATTGGCATAAAGTTCTTGGGCCTCTTGAAGATCTCCCCCAGTGCAAGGAGGATTGGAAATTCCTGAACAAGTTACAGCTGCAATGGATCTTACCGAAAGGAACAAGGCAATACTTGAAAAGTATAAACAGATTGTCGTTTCAAATGACAAAGAGCCCGGGATAGATGGCCATTTCGATGACTGTACAAAAGAGGTGCTGAAAAAACTTGAAGATAACAATAGAGATACAGATGAAGAGGTTCAAAGCAACACAGATAGTGAAATTTGACTGTTAAACTATTGTTTATCATCTGTAGGCATGCCATCGAGCTTTTACACATTATACACAATACGTAAACATGTGTTTCTTCATTAAATTGAGAAAACAAGTAATAAAGGAGGGTATTAAATTTTGCGACATTAAAGTTAGCGGGAATTTTTTTTTCGCGTAGCTTTAAGTTCGCGATTTTTTTTAAATCGCGAAATTAAAGCGACGCGAAAATTAGTACCAACAAGGTATATAGAATGATACAAGTTCTAACATTTTAAAGCAGCAGTCGGGGAGGGGTTAACACCGATAGAATGGCACATGTCCCCTTGCAAAGTAAACGAGAGAGCTAAAATGATTATACAATATAATTAAGAGGGGTATGTTACCTCTTGGTGTCGATATTGGACCAATTGTAGGCCCTGAAAATACAATGAAAAGTTCTGGTTAGTTTGAGCGTAAAAGCACAAATAGCAATCTTTGCTTTAATGGCCAAATGCTTTATTGTTTTGAGTGGCCTTTTAACCTGATCAAAACAACTCCTGTAACGAAGTCTTAGGAATCGACCCGAAGATTTCTTCGCAGCCAGTCAGATGGAATTGCTGCAAACGACTTTACTTGAGCTTGCTGTCGGTTACAGAGGCTGCGATAGAAAGGCTTTTATGACAGACATTTGTTTTCAACAGATACAAATTGTAAAAACAAACTATCTACTCACAAATTTTCCTTGGCTGACACACTTGATTCTTCAGCTTCAGTATGATGGACATTAGTAAGCTGAATGACACAGTTAAGACGTGGTTTTGGTCTGTTGCCATCTGCAGCAACTGTCTGCGTCGATACTTCTTTCCAAGACCTATCGCGAACACTTCAGCACCAGTAGCTTTCATACGGCTTGCAGGTTGGCCGACCCGGTCCTGTGAAATGCCATCAGTGAGCAGCACCAACACTCGCTTCCTTCCACGGGGATTCCGCCCTCGAAAGAGGTAATTCCGAGCGAAATCCAAAGCTTTTCCAATCTTCGTGCCTCCTCTGGGATAACGGATGCGGTCGATCGCCCGAAGGACGTCTGCCCTCGACGAATAGCGTTTAAGACCGAAGATTGGAATCGGTCGAGACGAGAACAACACGAAGCCGATTCGGGATTTTCCTCGTGATACCTGGAAGAAGCTTATGACAGACTTGATGAAGTTAAGCATGCGACCAAAGTTTCCTTTTCCTTGGTATTCGATGCTTCCTGACCCGTCGACCAGAAAACCGAGGTCCACACCAATCTTGCACACTAGATAAACACGGAAAAGAAGACACACATTACGTTATTATTTTTAAAAGGATTCCAATTATCACAATACATATGTTTCACACTATCGTTTAAATATTTCAAAATATGATGAAACGAAAATGCTTACTTTCTGGGATTCGCGGCGTGGTTGGTGTAACTGAAAAATGCAACAACAGAGAAATGTCACATTCAACAATACAATCTTAACACTTGTTAAACTTCAGATTCTAACCTCAACCAAGAGCTTGTCAATTCAAGAATGCAACAAGTTGTACGTGGCAATATGAACGTTATTCAAAAGGAGAAAAATGCTTTCTGAGTATATATGTAATTGTTCACAGAAAAATCTTGCCATAAAGTCTACAAATCAAAAAGTCCTCCTCCCCTCTCTCACTTCTTTATGAGACCTCCTTAAATTTAGACCTATTAATTTCAATCATGGAAATATACTCACCAGGAATTGTTGGTTTCGTGACGGGCACTGGAAAGAAGAAGCACAACAGAAAGAAAATAAGTTATTAATTCAAATAAACATAAACAACTTTGCAACCATTACAATTGTAGACCTATTAAAAACTGTCCGTCTTCAAAAACATCTCAAGCCTGTACACCACAAACCTTTGACTTACGTTTTTTGAAACACCGCTTCCTTGCTGCTCGAATCTGTTTCTGCTTCAAAGCAATACTATAAACCTGAAGGCAGGAGATTTTCCCACGGAAAGCCCTCCGATCGCCTATTCTTGCACCCATCCTAACTGGATAATTGGTAGCCAAGTCAAATCTTCCAATACTTTGCCTCGCTACAGGCTTGGAGTCGAGCCATAACGTCGCGACGCCTGTATTGTAATCATAAGTGGCTCCGATGTAATTCCACGCGCGATAACGCGGCTTCTTGGAGTAGGTCGCCACTGAGGAGGTTCTTCCGCGAGAGCGTCTCACAAAGCGTACAAAGAGCACCCTGGGCCCAACCATCCATAGATGAACTCCAAAGCCGCGCCGGTCGTAGTTGAAGATAGGTCCAGATCTCCCGTTGTGATAGATCCAGGCCAAGATGGTCATGGATCGCCTGGTGTCTAGTCGGCCATTGTTTGGGAACTCGATGTAACTGTTTGACGATCCGATGAAGAGAGTTGATCCACGAGGACGTCCGTCGGGGCCTGGTGCCGGACTGACATTTGATGGTGTGCCCGGTGGGTTATTCCCTGTGAGATCTTTGGTTTTGGTTTCGTCATCGAGGGCGTATATGGCCACAAGAGGTGGTAACTCTATAAGACGATAAATCACGCGAGCAGATCAGAAAGAGTACCATGGCCTGATGCAAGAGTAACACTTTCCACAAACAATCGTATAAAGACGATAATAATTATACTTACCAGGTGGATGAGGTGTTGGTGGAGGACCACCTAGAAGAGAAATCGATACAATGATAGTTAAAGGAGCTACATCACGGTTAGCGTATCTTGAAAAGTTAAGCCTAAATCTTTCAAGCTCGCATTCGAAATCCGTGCTAATCTACTTCTAAAACGCGGTTCTTCTGAATTTTGAAAGGCCTTTCAAATAAGCAGAAATTATTTTTCATGTCATATGCACTTTAACCATCCTTGTTTCTT